AGGTTCATAGAGTGGGGTCGGGATCAGGCCATCGCAGTTTTCCCCGTGACCCTCGATTTTGCCATAAGCTTTCTTAAGCCCCTCGCCGCCAGCAAGCAGAGCAGCGCCATCAGAGAGACATTGGAAACCTTCAATTTTCTTCAGCATGTTGTGGGGATGAAGGTGGAGCCTGGCATCTCTGCCAACCCGTGGATCAAGGGTGCTGTGCGAGGGGCCAACATAAGGACGTCGGACCCCCGCAGGTCGAGGGTCCTCACAACGTCCGAGGTGCTTCTCCTTGAGACAGCCCTCATCGAAGGGCATCATGACCGTGTGGATCGGTGTGCCATCGGTGCTTTCTTGTTTCAGCTCTATGCGAGGGCGAGGGTCTCAGATCTTCGCAACATTTCCAAGCTAGAACTTGACCTGAACGACGGTTCCGGCTTCATCGAGGTTCGCACTTACGAGCACAAGAATTCTAGGCTTGGCAGCGGAGCTGGAGCTGTACTGATTTTGGTTGCGCCATATCATGGGCTTCACGTCCAACCATGGGGGCAAGCGTGGGTGCAGGCTGCCGCGGCCGTGGGTTTCGCCTTTGATAAAGGGCATCGGGGGCCGATCCTCCCGAGGCTGTCGAGCGACTACAGTTGGAGTGGAGATGCGACCGATGCCAACGAGACCACTCGATGGTGTCGTGGGATTCTTGCCCAGCTCACCGGGGGTCCCATCGATGAGACTTTCTCGAGTCACGGCCTGAAGGCTACCCCTCTCAGCTGGACATCGAAAGCGGGATACCCAGAGCGCACCCAGCTGATTCTAGGGCATCATTCGCTGGGGGCCACAGGAAAGACTCAGGAGTCCTATGCCCGTGAAGTCCAGGCGCAGCCGCTACGCGACCTGGTAGAGTGCATCGCTGCAATCCGGCGGGGTCTGTTCCACCCAGACCGGACGCGCAGCGGTATGGTGACTCAAGGCGCTCTGGGATCTCATTTCAAGTTCGGTGGGACTGGTGCACACGACTTCGTGTGTGCTCCTCCCTCTGACTCAGCCCAGTCTAGTGCAGTTGAGCCCGCACCGGCAGAGGCCCCGCAGAGTTCCCCGCGTGAGGAAGCGGGGTCGCCCACCAAGGATGGGGAAGCTTCTTCGGGATGCCCGGATGACGCGGCTGAGCCTCAGAGCGAAGAGTCTGAGAGTTCAGGGGATTCCGAAGGGGACATCGTCTATGAAAATTTTGGCAAAGGGATCGCGCAGGATGTGATCCCTGAGGTGAATATGGGCCCAGATCTTGAAATCTTCCAAAACCCGAAAACCAAGAGCTTGCATGCGCGAGCGAAGGGCTCGACTGGGAAGCTGATCTGTGGCCGATCACTTGACAGCATGAAGACCTTTCAAGGAAAGATCTTCAGTCACCGTTGGATGTGCAAACAATGCATTGCAGGGCGTCCTGTGCGAGACATAGGAGCCCTTAACTCTTTCCTGGCTAAGAAGCAGGGAAGGTCTGCTTGATCGACTCAGGAAGCCGGGGAAAATGATGCAAGAGCGGCAGGGTCAAGCAAGGTGCATCGCGATTGGTTTGTGTTACCCCAAACTTCATCAGAGTTCGGAGCAACTCTGACGCTCATTGCCGCAATGAGTGGTTTGGTAAACCAAGTCGGATGTGATCTCAGAACCATGCCACGTTGTCAGCGTTCCTCAACGGGAAGAGGTCGGTCCAGTGGAACCGGGCATCCCTGGTGAATGGCACCAGGGCCGTTGAGCTGACAGTCGTGGGCAAGGTTTGTTGAGGGTGCCAGTGCAAGCAGCTGAGTGCATGTTTTCTGCCTGGAACATGAGGGCTGGCTGCTCGCAAGAGACATGTACATGTCGTTCCGAGACGTTTTCTCCCAAGCTTCGATCTAGGACTGCGGCACCATGGCACAGACTTTGGTTGAATCCAAAGCCGTTTTCCTTGAGCGTGCGAGCCGGGTCGGGTTCCCCGATGAGGCTGTCCGAAGGCTTGTGGATCAGGGCATCGACACGATGTCGAAGCTTGCGTTCGCTCCGTGTCAGCCAGGCGAGACCCCGTCTGAGGAGTCGTTGACTGGTCTGATTCATACCGAAGGAGCGGAACCGTCAAGGGGCTCGATTGCGGCCGTTCGCCATTTGGTTTTTGAAGCACAGACATTAGTTGTGAGCCAGACCAAAGCCCTGGTCGAAAACCGGGAAGCAGAAACCAAAGATCTTGCGCCGGCTGAGCGCAGGGAGAGGATAAGGACCCAATCGCAACGATTGGCAGGCATCACCATGTCCGGTCAGAGTGAGTGCAGTTTCGCATCATACGACTTATGTATGAAATTGATCACCGAGAACTGTGTTTCTTACCTGGCGCCGTCGAAATTCATCGCGCGCGAGGCTGAGCTGCGTGCTGACAAACCTCGCAAAGAGCTGGACCTCCAGCACTCGACTCTCATCGTCAAAGAGAGAGAGCCCGACCAAGTGTGTGATACCTCTACTGCTCTCAGCCTCCATCACGCCCTTCACCGTCGCAGCCTCGCCCTGGACTTAATCGGGGTCACTGATTACTTCAAGGTCCAGGCCTTTGTGGATTTTCTCATGGCACATCTGCATCAGGAGCCTGCCGCTGGCAGTCGTGCTACTACAGTCCAACAGATCCTGTTGGCCGACCGGGCTGCCTGGCTTCGCCTCTCAGAGCTCACGCCCGATGGGATCAGGCGCGATGAAGCCGGCCGGCTTCCGCTTGACCCGCTGTGGAAACGCCTCGAGACAGACCCAAAGGTCATCTTTCACCTTCTTCCCCGTGAAGGTAGCACCACTAGTCCCGCTAAGCGTTCCAGTGAGCATCTGGGGGATTCCGAGACCCCCTCACCAGGCAAGAAGCAGCGCAAAGGTAAGGGTAAAGGCAAAACTAAGACCCACAAGGAGCCTGCCAACCTGCCCGAGGAGCTCAAAGGCCTGTCCTCCTGGACCAAGACCGGCAAACGCCGTTGTTGGGGCTTCAATATGCAGGTTGGATGCTCCAATGCGAAGGTGGGCCAGGCGTGTCCGCGCGGACTTCACAATTGCATGCATTGCGGGGGGCACCATCCGGCCCATGCCTGCCCCAAGAAGCCCTGAAAACCAAGCCTGCCCGATCCGCCTGACCTTCAACAGTCTTTTCCAGCCTCGTCGGAGGATGCCATGGATGCCGCCGGAGTGGCCTTGGAGGCTGCCCCCGCCCCTGCGTCTGCCGCACCCCCCCCTGGCACAGGTCAGCAGCTGTCCAGCTTTTTCTGTGTTGAAGTTTTCGCGGGCTCGGGCAGGCTTTCCGCAGAGTTGAAATCTTCAGGTTTTCGAGATAGTGTTGGGGTCGATCACGTCGTTCCCAAGCACATTGTCTCCCCGATTGTCAAGCTTGATCTTCTGGAGCCGGCTTCTGTACAGATGCTCTTTGACATGATCGATTCTCCGTTTTGCATATATGTGCACCTAGCGCCACCCTGTGGCACGGCCAGCCGGGCTCGTGAGATACCTGGCCAGTGCATGCCTCAGCCCGCCCGTTCCGAAGCACACCCCGACGGGCTACCCACCCTGCAAGGCTCCCTTCTTGACCGAGTGCGCAAAGCCAACCAATTGTATGGTCTAGCCGGTCGCATTTTTGCCCACTGCATGCGCGCAGGCAAGCTGGTTTCATGCGAGAACCCAGCCAACTCGCACTTCTGGAACACATCCTTCTGGTGCCAGGAGACTGATCAGCTGCCTTGGCATGATACGGTTTTCCACCATTGCCAACACGGTGGTCAGCGTGCCAAACTCACCCGCCTGCGCCACAACATCCCGTTGATGTCTGAGCTCGCCCTTCTTTGCCCGGGCGAGTCTTCTGAGCATCGCCATCTCCCCTGGACTCGCGGCCCTCAAGGTTTTGCCACTGCCGACGAGAAGGTCTACCCGCTGGTGTTGTGCCGCCGCATGGCCGACATTGTTCGGCGATCTGCCGCTGCCCTTGGCATTCAATTGCCCCCGCTTGCTCTGGAACCCGGCGCCTCCTCTCCTGCCCATGAGGCGCAAGCTGCCGCTGGTCACCAGCCTGCTGGCAAGAAGCTGCCGCCCCTTGTACCCGAGTTCCGCCAGGTTCTCGTGCTTCAGTCCCCTCGCCCTCTTCTTGTGGGCGTGCGCAAACTTGACACAACCTTCGACATCCCAACGGATGTCTCCTGCACTTCGGCTGTTAAGACCTTGCCTGCCGGTACCCGTGTCCTCAGGCACAGCGTCGTGGGGCATCCCGGTGCCGCTGAGGACCCGTGCCCTGATGTCGGACCGAGCCATGACCCTCCTGAGATGGGGCCCGAGGAATTTTCGCACTACGGCCTGCAACTCGGCACTACTGCTACCGACTCCTCCTGGCGTGAGAGCATAAGCCACTTGTGTGATCTCCTCCGATCCGACCCCTTGGCCAGAGGAGGATTGGGCTGTGACGAGTTCTCTTGGACGTGCGGGGCCTACACGCACGCCAATGTTGTGGGCCTCCGGAAGAACACTGCCTCGCACCCCAACGTGTGCAGGTTCCTGTGCGAGTATGTTCGGAGGGTCGCGCCCGGCCACCCGTTCACATCCATCATGCTAGGCAGAAACCTTCAGGGTGATGTTCACATCGACAAGAACAATGCCGTGGGGCTGCCCAATGCTGTGCTCAAGATATCCGCCTTCAACAAAGGAGGCATCTGGATAGAGAGTCCGGGAGGGACAGTCAAGTGCCCTTCCCCCAATCATCCCGATGCCCTGGGAGAGGTCATCGACTTTTGCGATAACAGAATTTTCTTCAGTCCAGACTGTAGGCACTGCCAAGCCCCGTGGGAAGGGGGACCTCGAATAGTGTTGGTTGCCTATACCATCCGCAACTTCGAGAAGTTGGGGACGGAACACGTGGGTCGCCTTTCGGAGCTTGGTTTCTGTTTGCCTGCTACTGAAGCGCCGGCCTCCGCGAGCAACGTGGGTTTCCCAGTGCACACAACCACTCCTGTCCCTACCCCTTCGGGTCTAGGTCCTCCCTCTTGCCCTAAGGATCCGCTTGGCAAGGAGTCGGACAGGTTCCATAGGGTGGTGGTAGGCATCCCGTGGACCCCCGAGGAGTTCATAGACCGAGCAGTCCAGGCCAAACACCCCAGGCACATCCTGGATGGAATCCCGGAAGAGACCAAACGCGCCGTGGATCAACTAGCGGGTCTCTCCCTCGGCGAGATCGGGGCCCATCGCACCGAGGCTCTCAGGAAGTGGATTGGCCGTGCTCGAGAGCTCGAAGGGCAGGAGGAAGCGAACCGTGAGACCATGCCCCAACATTGTGCCGAGGTGCTGGGTCGGAAGCGCCTGGTTCTCTTCGAGGAGATGCTGGGCGAATGCGGCCACGAGGACGTCTCGATTGCACGGGACATCAGCCAGGGTTTTGATCTCAGCGGCGCCATCCCTAGGAACCCAGCTTTCCGCGCAAAGCGCTCGACGGCTTCTCTTCCCGAGTCTGAGTTGCGCCGCCATGCAGCAGTGACACGGGAGGCAACTCTCCTGGCCACCAAGAGTTCGGGTGACCTGGAGCTTGACCTCGCTCTCTGGGAGGCTACTCAGAAGGAGGTAGATCGGGGGTGGTTGCGTGGACCGGTCAACCCCCGGTCCCTAGACCCGGGGGCGGTCATCTCGCGGCGTTTTGGGATATGGCAAGGAGACAAATGCACTTCGGGGGTCAATGCTACCACGTCAGCGGAGGACTCGGTTACCGTTCATTCGGCGGACACCATCGCCGCATCCATCGCCTACAGGCTGAAGGTGGACGACAAATGCCGGCGGTACGGTGGGCTCGAGATGAAATCTTATGACCTTCACAAGGCCTACAAGAATCTCCCTTTGAGTACCGAGGCGGTAGAAATCGCTTATCTGTCGGTGTACAACCCTCACAAGAAGACTGCTGAAGTCTTTGAGCAGTGCGTGCTGCCCTTCGGGGCGCGCGCATCTGTGCACTCATTTTGCAGGACATCGCTTGGGATATGGAATGCAGGGGTCCAGATTTTACTCCTGACTTGGTCGGTATATTATGATGACTTTGTGAGTTGCGAGGTCCCGCCACTCACGAGGATTTCCGACTTGTGCGCGGAGTCTCTGTTCCGCCTGCTGCAGTGGGACACGTCGCCGGACAAGCCCACAACCTTCGGAAGCATCGCCAAGGTCCTGGGCCTAGAGTTCGATTTGGGCGACACGCGCCTTGGACGGTTCTACATGCGGAACACGGCCAGCAGGCGTGATGAACTCCGCGGCAACATTAGCAGTATCCTCGAGCAAGGGAGCCTACCAAGGAAGGAGTGCGAGAGACTTCGGGGAAGGCTTCAGTTTGCATCCAACCAGATTGCGGGAAAGAGGGCCGGCAGGGCCTTCAAAGCTTTGACGAAGCATCTTGTCAGCAACCGATCGGCGGTGGGTGATGACTTAAGAATCGCCTTGCTTTTCCTGCGTGACTCTTTTCTGGACGGACCACCGAGATCCTTGAATGCAAACATCCTTCACGTTTGGCACGTCTATGTGGACGCTTCGTGTGACGACAACAAGGTCGGCTTGGGAGGCGTACTTGTATCAGAGCAAGGATCCAAGGTTGCATACTTCAGCGAGTGGGCTGCCGACGAGATGAAGGCTATCGTCGCTCCTACTAGCAAGAATCCGATCTTCGAGTTCGAGTGCCTCGCCGTCTTGCTTGCTATCAGAACGTGGTCGGGCTTGATCAGTGGCTGCAATTTGGTAATCTTCTCCGACAACGAGGGAACGAAAGCCTGTCTTGTCAAGGGGTCATCCGACAACGAGGTGGGCATGGCCATCGTCGATAGCGTCCATAGATCACTAGACGAGATGGGTTGCAACGCTTGGTTCGAAAGGGTGAACACCGCTTCGAACATCTCGGACGGACCATCGAGGGGTGAACAGTCAGAAAGCCTGGGAGTACGTTTCGTGACAGATGCAACTTCAGTCGCGCGATCAGCGCTGGTTCCTTGGGGTAGCGTCAACGCATGACGCGCGCTGTGCACTGTTGTGCATAGGTCTTGCTGGTGCACACGTGGTGCATCGGCATTTTGTGCATCGTGGCATGCACTCAACTTTTGTGCATCATGGCATGCATCAAGGATGGAACCTTTATGCATCTCTCTCGAGAACGGTTTCTCCCCGAGCTTTCGGCGTCTCGCCGGGAAAAAAGATCGGTGGTCGTCCGAGTGATTGCAGAGCCTTTTTATCATATCCTTTTGTGAATATGAATTCCGAATTGCAATATGATTTCCCATATTGGATTCGCTTTTCAATAGTCTGCACCAATTATACGGAACATGGAAAT